TGCAATGTTAATCAAATCAAAGGAAGTTACCGCTGCTAATGCAACTATCTGACGATCTAAGGGTCTGGCAAAAAGCAAACAAACTAGTTTTTGCGACAATTTTAGCTGGAAAGCTGGTGGGAGTAATAGTAGATTCCTTATCGTCGCCGGCAAGTGAAAACACAAACACATTTTGCTAAGAATATTTGCAGGAAATGTGTAAAATTTCGTTAATCATTAGACGAAATCGTAAACGTCCTCGGAATGAGGTGCAGGCGTGAGAAATGCAACGCAATGACAGCATCTATCGCTGGCTACAAATCAAATAATCTGCGCATGACATAATCTTCTTGGCTTAGCACATGCAAACGACTAAGCCAAGAAACAAAAAGGCAACCAGAAACGGGCAGCAGCAACAGGACATCCTACTTACGTCTACAGCCAAAACAACAGAAAATTCAATTCTAAAAAAGGCAAACAAAAAGTCCTTAAGTTATGTTGTGCGTCATTTTGGCTGGCAAATGGAATGAAAACAAAAGGCAGCAGAGAGCACTGCGAAGACCAGAAGAACGCGAAACTGAGCTGAACTAAACTGAGAGGACGCAGCACAAAAGGACGTGGCACTTATGCAAGCCTTCACGTTTTTTATGGAAACAGGACACAACAATCAACAATCAACTGAAATGGAAGCAGCGACTTCATCACTTGTTTCCTCTGCGCGCGCTACTCCTGCTCCAGCTTCTGCTCCTGTTGCATAAATTGCGAGCATTCAAATGCCTGAAAGAGGACACGCTCAGATCAGGTTAACAGCAGCACGGCAACCAATCCCATAGGGCTCCGAGAGATGATGAGTACGATGCACTCATATGATCTTGGAGGTGTGTCCCATTGTTTGGTCGCGCTTCCGTGGCAGCTATATGAAACTTATCTCAGCGGATGCCTTTGCTTCGCTCTCTTTATAAACGCACACAGAAATATATATATATATTTTTTTTGCACGTGCAGCTCTGGGAACCGAGTCCTGATAGTGCTCCTATTCCTGTCCGTGTCTGTTTGTCAAACCCGACAAAAGTTGCTCAACTTTCTGCCGTCATTTGATGTGGCTCCTACTTTACGCAATTCCGAGCAGACATTTGAGCACTTTAATTTCATGTTTTTATGAATTGTTCAAATGATTTCTCAAGATCAGATTGCTTATCTGTCAGCTACCTTGTCCCTTATGCCCTACTCTGTCTCTGCCTCTGCCCTGATTCAATTTATGCACTGTGTAATTATTGCGCTTTTCTGTAGTTGTTGTACCTTTAAGATTTTTTTCGGGACTATAATAGTTTACTTCCTGGGTTCCATCCGTAAGAAGCACTTGGTTGCTTAGCCATTTCGATGTGATTTCTGAGTCGCTTCCTGTTGATGTGGCCTTTGCCTCGTTTCTCGTTCATTCAATCCTTTTGTTTGGCTTTTGGAGACTTGTCTATTTGTACTTTCGGGTTGACATGCTTTTTGCTTTTATGAACTTTGCTTTGACTGAACTGAGCTGCATTGATTTCTCGTTTGAGCGGAAGTCGCCCGAAACGTATATTCATTTCCGCAAATTTCATGCATTTTTAAAAAGTAAATTTACATAATATTGGCGCCAAAAATATATGAATTTATTGGCATTAAATGTTTGATTTGCGCGCCAAAAACTAAAGGGAATCTCATGACAAATAATAGCAAGACCGATTAGGGGAAGTGAATTTAAATCACATATATATCTATGAATACCCACAAAACATAAGCTGAAAGGCTGTCCTATCCACAGAGCTTAGTAATGTTTAGCAAAGTAAGCAAGTGGGTTTTTGTTTTCTTTTGTGTTTTCTCTTCTTTCTTAACTGATGAACTATTTCTGAAGGCTTACATAACGCCTTAGCGAGCAAAAATCTGAAAAGCACATGTTTCTTATCGAAAACATGATCTACATAAGGTGGAAAACGTAAATACACGAAAATGCGTTCGGCACCGTCATAAACCAAATACAAAGCGCTCAGCTAATGACATTTCGGGACTTTCCCATCAAAAGTCTGGCGCGATTCATAATGATGGGCGAGGGTAAGGGAACAGCCGGCAGAGGTTGTCGCTGCTCAATGAACGTTTGCCAACTTTTCGGCCATAAGCAGTAAAAGACGAAATTTTCCGCTCCAAACCAAAGTAAATGAAGAAAATTTCCCAAATGCTTTAACCCTTTTTAGTTCGGCCGAACTGTCATTAGGTTTGTGGCGTCGTCAGACGCCTGACAACAATGTCAAACAGTCGTGGTATGTTTATGAGTCTTAACCCTTTCGGCTACTATCAACGACGATTCATAAAAATGCAGCGAAAGTGCCAATGAGGTCCATAAAAATTTGTAGCCCGACGCAAATTACTACCTAACAGCTATTCTTGGCATTCTTCGAAGACAAAAAGGTGCTAACTACAGTTTTTGTGCATCATCATTAGCCTTAGCTCTGGCCAGGCGACAACGGGCCGGCTACTGTGCCCGCTTGTGCCCCTACCTAGCACCCGCTCAACCCTTTCGCTTTCGCAAGGCGCAAGTCGTCGGCCCAACCTGCAGTCTTTTAGGAATTTTGCTAAAAAGTCATATGTTGCATGCTTTTCGCCGGAATATCATTATTGATTATGCTTCTTTTTCTTCTCTTTTTATTTTCCAAGTTGACCTTCAATTGTAAGTGGCCATATGTGTCTTAGTCCTACCTGAGTGTCTACCTGTACTTTGGCAGTCTGTGCTCGACTGCTGTTTAAGGACTTGTGGTGGATTTAGCGCTAATCCGCGGGGATTAGTGGAATTAGCAGTTCGCCAGCGTTACAATATTTCATTAAGTAATGGAGCGCTACTTAACTTGAATGAAAGTCGCGCTCGGAGTTTTCCTGCGAATTTCCCTTGGGTGAATTCAATTGAAATTGGAGCTAAGGAATATTTATTCTACTGAATTATGTGGGAAAGTTTGATAACGATGTCAGTTATATTAGAGGCAGCATCAATTGAAGCGGAGATCATGCATATTCATGAGTTCCCACGATAGACCCCTAGTTAGTCAGCACAGTCACATCACATCATTCAAATTGACCGATGGTCAGAGAACAGTATACTAAAAATTAATATGTCATCGTCATCTGGTTTACTAGAGCATCATAATCAACAGCATTCAGCATTGTACCCACCGCGAGCTAATGATCTGCATCGTTGTATAGGAATAACATCACACGCAAGCGAATTCCCATGCTGCACACCTGAGAAACCCGAGTGACTGACAGCTCGGTGGTGGGTGGGTGTCCACGACACATGCTCATCGCACCCAATCTAAGCAACATCAACAACTACCCTCAGCAGCAGCATCAGTCCACTCGAGGGGTTGCTATTCTAATTAGACCCTTTTATTATTGCTTGGTGTTGCTGTTGTTGCTATCATCGCAAGCGTTTTATTGATCAAGTTACGCATCCGTAATATGAATCGAAATATATAATTGCTCTTTTTAAATGGCTTGTCATCTATCAATGCGTAGGCATTTGCATTTGCATTTGCTTTTGCGGACTCGAGTTCCCACAGCGGCAACAGCAGCGAGGGATTGACAACCCCTCGGCTAAGGATAGGCTAGGCGTTCGTGTTTTAATCGCACCAGACTTACGGGATCTTGCTTAACATTATAAAGTAGACTATTTTTCGCCTGAATTCTCTAATGCTAGCATTTGCCTTGGGCGTTGATCCCTTTGTTGAGTTTTGCCTCTGTGAAAAGCTTGCTTTAAATTATTTGCCCTTGGCTGATCTTGATCTTCGTCTTCGTTTGCGTCTTCACCGTCGTCTTGGTCCTAGCCGTTGTCTTTGGCTTTAATCTGCTTAAGCGGCACGCGATTAGGCCAATGCCTCTGAGGAAACCTTGCTGGCTGTTGGTTAGGTTACGCGTGGGCCGATTAAAATGATCCCACTTGAATTTAATTTGAGCCGCCTCAGCAAAAGGCATGCTTTAAGCAGGCTTAGTTAAGGCTAAGCGAGAGAGAGAAAGGGAGAGAGTGGGTGGTTGAGCTGGGCATGAGTGGTTAAAGCTGCAGCTTTAAGTGGATGCCACAAAGTGTTTGATATTTGCCCAATCAATAGCCGAGTCTGCTTATAGCACAATTACATCATAAAAGTTCAGTTGGCTCAATAGATGAATGAAACAATTACACCAAAAGCACCCCGCATAGAACAACCCTTGCGCCGTGGTTCGGGTGGTGCAGCAGAGACAAAACGACATGTACCCACAGGTACTTCACACAAATCACAAAGCGGCAACAATGGCCAGCGCCATAAACGGCCAGCCATGAGTGCTGCTGATGAGGATGTGCCTGCTCATAATAACAACTGTCACACTAGCAGAGAGAGAGAGAGCGTTAAAGACAGAGAGTGAAGGAGAAAGAGAGTGAGATAATAGAGAGAGCGTGCGCAGGTAGACGCTGAGAGCGAACATCAACGGAAAAAGACCATAAAATCTCAGAGGCGAAAAGTTGAGAATGAGCATGAGCGACGGCTGCTCAATGAATTTTTCGCAATGGCAGCCGCTGCTTCAGGATCATAAATCGCTGCCAGGCAGCCACTCCGTTAGAAGCAATGCGTGCGAGCGAGCACACAATAGCTGGCCAACCCTGTCTGGCCCGGCAGCGCAACGACCAATAAACGCACGCGGCTGCTACCTAGGGGTGATCGACTGTTCGTTGAATGGCACGGCGGCAGGATTTGTGAGAGCAGGAGTATTAAAACAGGAGCTGGGTGGTGAGCAGACAACACAATCATCCGTGATCTCAACGAGTCCACTTCGCTCGTCCACGTCGTCGTCGTGTAGTGCGCCAGAACTGAAGTAAGACTCAATATTCAAACTGAAAACTCAGAAAAGCCAAATCTACAAACAGAAATTTGAAAGCAATTTGAAAATTGCGCCAGTGAAAAGTGTGTGTAAATTTATTTTGCTGAAATTGTGCCTAATAAATCGCCAAAATTACGCCCCACATCGGTATGCAATCGTCGGAGGGTTCGCCAGATATGATGGATCAGAAATACAACAGCGTCCGGCTGTCGCCAGCTGCATCCAGTAAGTATTGCCTCTGGTCAACATAGTCGAGGAACAAACTCCATCCCAACTCCAGCCGTGAGCAGCAAACTAACGCAATCCTTATTTTTTTGCTTCCTTCAGGTCGCATTCTGTACCATGTGCCATGCAAGGTCTGCCGGGATCACAGCTCTGGCAAGCATTACGGCATCTATGCTTGCGATGGCTGCGCGGGATTCTTCAAGCGCAGCATCCGACGCTCACGCCAGTACGTGTGTAAGTCACAGAAGCAGGGATTCTGCGTCGTGGACAAGACACATCGTAATCAGTGCCGTGCCTGCCGCCTGCGCAAGTGCTTTGAGGTGGGCATGAACAAAGATGCAGTGCAGCATGAGCGCGGGCCACGTAACTCAACGCTGCGCCGTCACATGGCCATGTACAAGGATGCTATGATGGGCGCCTCAGATCTGCCGCAGATACCACCAGAGATACTCATGAATACAGCTGCATTGACTGGCTTCCCCGGCTTGCCCATGCCCATTCCGGGCGTGCAACGTGGCCACCATCATGCAGCACTGAGTGCCGCTTTCCAGCCGCCACCGCCCGCTGCCGTACTTGACCTTTCCGTGCCGCGTGTGCCCCATCATCCTGTGCACCAGGGTCATCATGGCTTCTTCTCACCCACCGCAGCCTACATGAATGCGCTGGCCACTCGGGCACTGCCACCGACACCGCCGCTAATGGCAGCGGAGCATATTAAGGAAACTGCTGCGGAACATCTCTTCAAGAATGTGAACTGGATTAAAAGTGTACGTGCCTTTACCGAGCTGCCCATGCCTGACCAGCTACTGTTGCTGGAAGAGTCCTGGAAGGAGTTCTTCATTTTGGCCATGGCCCAGTATCTCATGCCCATGAACTTTGCCCAGCTGCTGTTCGTCTATGAGTCGGAGAACTCCAATCGCGATATTGTGACCGTTGTTGCCCGCGAGGTGCACGCTTTCCAGGATGTGCTGAACCAGCTGTGTCATCTTAATGTTGACAGCACGGAGTACGAGTGCCTGCGCGCCATCTCGCTGTTCCGCAAGTCGCCGCCAGCTGCTAGCTCGACAGAGGACCTGGCCAACAGCTCTATTCTCACTGGCAGCGGCAGCCCGAACTCCAGTGCCTCAGCTGAGTCTCGTGGTCTGCTGGAGTCCAGCAAGGTGGCGTCCATGCACAATGAAGCCCGTAACGCGCTCCATAACTACATTTCGCGCACGCATCCCAATCAGCCGCTGCGCTTCCAGACGCTGCTCGGCGTCGTCTCGCTGATGCACAAGGTGTCCAGCTTTACTATCGAGGAATTGTTCTTCCGCAAGACCATCGGCGATATTACCATTGTGCGGCTTATTTCGGACATGTACAGCCAACGTAAGATCTAAGGCCCAGTCTAAGTTGAATTGCATCGAAATCGGAAGGACTTGTATTGCCGTCGGCAAGACCGCGTCCGCGCACTTGAAGTGCCTTCGTAGTGCTGGAAACTGTGATATCTGAAAGTTTGATTGGAGTTGAGGAGTTGGGAAGTTGGGGTTACACTGGCTGCGACAGTGACAGTGACCATTGGACAATATTCAACAGTGAACTGCTGCAGAAAGCTTACAAATCTCTCGGATCTGAGCCTTAAAATGTATTCGTTATACGTAAATCTATTTCACAACGTGATTCAAACTTTATTCAAGAAAGTTGAAACTTTTTTTAAGTTTTTTACTATTTAAGTACATATCATATATGTTTAATAAAATTAGCATAGAAAAAATAATATAAAATATATAAAAATATATAAATAGCTAAAGCTACCTTGAAAACAAATGCAATCAAATGAATTATTTAATGGGCGAAGAGTTTTATATAGAATATATTCAACAATATCTGTGATATATAAAAATATATTGGATTATGATTATATATTCTGGAGAAATAGTTTGATTATATGAGTTATTGGCATTACCAAAATTCTTTATTAAAAAACGATTTCAGTTCAGCTTTATTGCAAAAGTCTGCGAATTCTTTACCTTTTGATTAGGAAACATTTTAAAAGTATTTAGTCTCAAGATCTATTAATCCACAATTTTTTTAAATTAATTTGATTTATAATTGTTTTTTAAAGACTGGATTTTTTTTATTTTTTTTTTTTTTTTTAATCTTAAACTTATCAAAATGATATTTATTTATAAATTATATTTTAAGCTGGCATTCGAGATCGAGATCATAAACATATGAGATAAACGTATGATCTTAAACTAAAAACTATTTAACCTTTCAGACGACTTCTTTGGGAGCTCACTCAAAGTCGGAAGACCAACCGCAGTGCCCGTCCAGGTAATCTGAATTGCATTATGCAAATCCTTGAACAAAAGATCTGATGCATTTGGCATTGAAATCAAACAAATTAGCATAGTTTTTCCACATCAGCAGTCCAAAGTCGGGATTAATTTGGGAATGGCAGTTGGCCTTAAAATGGCCGCTCCAAGTCGCTGTCCCCTCGAACGGCGTCGTCTCTGCCCTTGGCCTAAATGCCTCGATGCGTACAAAACAGAATTCAAAAAGTTAAAAAGCAAAAATTCACTTTTGATGACTTTGTCGAGCGGCGTTGGGTCGCTGCTGCGTCCATGGCAGACAATAACAATTGAATCCTTTGACAATAGCACATAGAACCGGGCATGCCATAATGTAGTATCCCTTCGGCTGAAGGCTGAACAAACAAGGAGCGAACGGAACAGTTGCCAATCGTTTTGGCTGGCTGCTGCAAAATTGTTGAAATTGCGTTGGCCAAAGTAAATAGAAATGTTGAATGCATCCATACAAATATGCCTTATATATATATATATATATATATATATATATATAATGTGTGTGTGTGTGATGTCTATGCCACTGACACACATTCATTTTGAGGAGCATAGTGCAAAAACCTACCCTAACCCGTAGCACCCATGGCTCAATGCTTGCGGGGATTTGGAATTAAATATGCTTCGTTGCTGCTGCCATTTCGACTTTGCCAAGGTCCATGCTCGACTCTGCTTGGATGCTGCAGATGTTGTTGTTGTTATTGCTGCTGCTGTTGAATCCGGCACAAATTTTGTTGTCTCTGAGGGCACAAAGCGTTTCGACTGCTGCCGCTGGGTTGTTGAGCCCTTTTAAGTCCTAATGGCCCTTTATTATCTGCCTTTAGACTTTTAATAGACTCAGAGGCGACGACGATGCTGTGTGTGTGTGCATATGTCTCTATGCAATTGTGGTTGTTGTTGTTACAGTCGTAGTCCTAGTCCTAGCTGTGCGCCTGTGTTGGTTTAATCCTCATCATTCTGTCATCAGTAACGTTTTTCTGCACATTGTTGGCTTTGCATTGTTTAGGTCTTAATTTGTAGTTTTCCCTTTTTTTGCATTGGCCATAAAAAGAGAGAATATTTTCACTTATTGATTTGCTTTGGCAGAATGTGGAGCAAGCCCTTATTGAGTCATTGGCTCTAATTGAAATCCTTGGTAAAGCCAGCGACTAGCCAGGGACTAACTTGTACCACAAGCTTTGGATCAATTCAAACTCCTTGAACTGGTTTAAATCAGCTCAAGACCGAACTTTAACTCCCACCCAGCGTTGGGTGGGTGTGTGGGCTAAGCCGGAGCCAGCTCAGTTCAATCGCTGCTACAACTCTTCAGCTCAAGTGGCTCTGTGCCTGGACTTCTTCGGAATCTGGCCCGAAGCTGGTGGATTTTCGGTAACACTTTTAATTCATAGATTTTCGTTGATTAAGTAATCCATGTCCTCAATGAAGGGCGACGCGCATGATTAACGCAATTCGCGTAAGCGAATGCTGCAGATCCGCAGTCCTGCTTACCGGGGCAGGTGTGGAAAGACACGTATTCCTGCGGCTGTGGCAGGTTTTGGGCTAGCTTAGCCCGACGACAGGTCTCGGAGTGAGCCGAACTCCGATTCCCATTCCGAGTTCGAGTCCGAACTCGATGTCTGTGTGTGGATCATTGCGTTGGCTAGGCGGTTATCCACGCGCAATTACCTAGCGAAACAAAAATATGAGTATGCAAATAGATTTTAATGGGCTGGATTACCCTTTTGCTAAACGCTCAAATCCTGGCCGGGCGGTCGACAAGGCCGCATCACAGCCCATTGTTTTCAAATATAATGAGAATGTCTCTAAGCCAAAATATTAAACATCCGTGCGATCCGTGCTAGCAAGCCGCAAGACGCAAGACGCAAGCTGCAAATCCGGCTTCCGTTTGCCTCATTGTTGTACCTGAAGTCAGTCCCAGGACGAGTTGGTTCGAGTTGCTCTGTCAGCCGAACGGCAGCCAGTAAAAGTCAAAGCGGTACCAGGGCGGCGTTGTTTTTGTAAATTGAGTAGCTCGATTTATCGCCAGATCAATTTTCTATATCTGCCGCACAGATAAGTGAGTGAGCGGGAGGGAGATAATGTACATATCTATGTGCGCTTCTCTAATTCTAATTGTTGTATGGCTTATGGACTAGAGACTAAGCCTAGGCCCTGCCCCGCAGCCTGTGCTACAGCTTAACTTACTTTAGTGGGCAAATGTCTGGTTTTCTGTGGAAAATTCGATTTGCATTTTAGCAAAGGTTCCAAGGCAAGGGCATTGTTGTTAGCGCTTAGCTAGTTAATTTGACGTTTGGATGTCTCTAATGATGTTTATTAGCAGAACTAGTGCAATCAAAGCAGCTGCTCCGTAGGAGAATCAGCAGCAGATCACAAGATCAGATTCCCAGAGTTGAGCTGACAATTAAATTCAGTGAAGCGTCTGCTAATCAAAAGTACTTGGCACATTGGCACATCCTAGCATCTTTTATGCTCTTAAGTACTTGATGCCCGAGTCTAAGTCTACGTAAGTCTTTAGTTTTTTATTGTTACAGTCTGCGTAGGGCACAATAGGCCCCGAGGGCAGCTGATGAGTGGACCTCCTGGAGGTGAGAAAAATATTGAGGGCAAATTGCGACGCTCCCAACCGAACAAAGGCTACCGTGCTTCGACTGATACTTGAGAGCTCAAGAGCAACTTGCGTTTAACCTCAAGAAAGTTGCAATTGCCCGCATTTCGGTGATCCAGTGTGAGCGTTTCGCTTGAATTTCGCTTGGGATATTGACAGGCAAACAAGTGTTATGCGATCAGCGGCGACAGTTTTATATGGGCACGTCGAGGATTATTACTTTTTGATGCTCAATCAAAAGCTGAGACTTGCTGGACCACCAGGACGACAAAGCGTTGTGTGTGTTCCAAGCCACTCCACCCCGCTCTCAGGCATAGGGGCTTAGTATGGGAAACTTATGCGCTGTCAAGATTGCCACACAACTGCTTGCATTTGCCGCATGCAACCGATTGTAGGAAGTTCTGTTCGCAGGAAGCTGTTCCTCTGCGGCTGCCTCGGGCCAACTGATGACGTCGCAGCCTAATTGAATTTGTTGCCTTTTCATTTGATGTTGTCTTTAAATTTGCTTTTTTGTTAGCATAACAAAGCCGACGACCGCTCACTGCCCCGAGGCACCCATCGAGTGCGCAGATAGTTCATTAGGGTAACTCACAATCTGTTTGAAAAATAAAGAAGACATCATCCAATCCTATGGCGTCGCAGCTGCCTAGAAGTGCTCATTATATGGCAAGCTATTCACTTATGTTACGATAAACTATTAAGTAGTCGGAATATTTCATTTAATTAAGCTGTTACATGAGTTCCCCAGCTACAGCTACAGTGCAGCCCCAACCCATACATAAACCTATTTGAGCACCCCTTGATGGTCGGGAAAAGTTTGAAACTTCTCAACTTCCGGTCAATAAAGCAGGTGGTCATCAGGTGCACGGCATGGCGCATCCGTGAATAAAGCTATTATCGTATCACGCAAGTACTGTAAAAGTCCTGGGAATACGGCCCAAGTTGACCCGCAACGCTAAAAAGTGAAAAGCAGTCGCGTCATCATTGCAACTCGAAGCCCAGCAGTGGCGACGGTGTCGGCGGCGGCTGTGGCTTGCACCACCTTTGACCAGGAGCGTCATCAGCAACATCAATAGGGCCATATGTCAAAATAACGAGCCCTAAGCCCGAGCCACCCCAGAGACGTAACGGTAATTTGGGCAACCCTGTGCTGCTGCTGCTGCATTCCAAAACAGAGGCGACCGAGCACCAAGTGCATTGCAAATATTGAAAGGGGACAAAGGGGGGTTCGTAACGGACCTTCGGGCACTTGAGAATGTAACAAATCGACTTTGACAAAGCTTCGAACTCAGCAACAGCAACAGCCGCAGCACACAGGCGTATGGGAAAGCTGTCGTTCGTGTTATTTGGGCGAGGTTGCCACTTCAGCCACCCAAGTGGCCACTTTTACACTATACAGCAGCAACTCGAGACCAACTCACACCGAAAAGTGTATTAGTTATGTGTTTGCGCTCCCAGGATATGGAGCGAACGGCCAAAGAGAGAGACAGAGGGAGAGAGAGAGAGTTGGTTAAAACAAAAGGGGTGGTTAGTTAAAGGTATGTGGCGGATATTGGCAAACCAATTTTGGAGAGCCTTTGTTTCGCTGAACGTCGCGAATAAGCCACAAAGGATCAACAATGCTCGAGAATTATTTTGTAGAGCCAGCAAGCCGAGCCACTTGGTGGGCTGCTGTATGGAACATTAATTCTTTCCACAG